AACTATGATTTTACAGAGTGTAAACAAGGTGGGCCATTTTAGATAGAATCACTGTAACAGGCTCTCTGAGTGTCTTCTCCATGAAAAGCTTAGGGGTAAAGTTTTCTAAATCAAAACAAACAAACAAACAAAACCCACAGCAAGGAAAAAATTCCTGTGCTGAGAAAAATCCTAGAATATTCAAGGAACAGAAAGATGGATATTATGGGTGGAGGAAAATGAACAAGGATAACAAGTTATGGACAACGAGATTGAAGTGTTAGTCGAGGGCTTTGCTGGAGGCTCAGGGATTCAATTTAAGATAAATGGGAAAGCATTCAAGCAAGAAATAGATATGATCTGCTGAATGTTTTCAAAAGATCATTCATACCACCTTGAGGCAAAGGAGTCAAGGTTAGAGGCAGAGAGACTTGTAAGGATGAAAAGCAGTGGATATCTGGATTAGGTTGATGATAGTAATAAAGATGAAGAGAAGTACTTGGATTTAAGATACATTTTAAAGATTTGAATTGACAGGAGTTCACAATAAATTGGACACAGGAGACAAGGAAAAGAACACACTGAAATCTGACTGTTAGGTATTGGTCTGAGTAATTAGGCAATATTGGTGCCCAGTTCTGAGATGGAGAAGAGTAGAAAACAACAGGTTTTCAGAGAGGAGGGACATGCACAGTTAGAAGTGTTATGTTTAAGGATGCAGCTTATGTATACACCTGGAGTTTTGAGAGTGATCAGGGTTCAATGATATACATCATATTTAATGCATAGCTCACTGCTTAATGTGGACCATGAACGCAATAACTGCAAGGTTTTATAAAATGGGCAATATTTTCAAAGTGGAATGTGCAGAAAAATTTACAGTTGGTAATTTTCTAAATCTGGTTTTAAAATAATGAACAACACCATGCAGAGAATTCCATTTCTACCTCTTCATTGCAACTGTTAACTTCTTTAATGGCAACAAGGAGAGTGAGGCATACAAATTTTTCATCCCAATATCGTGCTGTCACAATTTGGCTTAGTAAAGAATATCATTGCAAGATCAATATCATTATTAGAAGGATGGTGAGAGACAAATCTATATAGATATAAAGTGTGGGCAATATCGTCACACTGCAACTTTAGTTCTACCACTTCTGAACTCTGTCATGAGGTAGCTACTGAGTACCTCTGATCCTCAATTTCCACGTCTGCCAAATGCAAATAATAACAGCAACTATGCCTGGGATTTTAAGATGATTAATTAAATAAAAACAGGCATTATACACTGAATACCTAATAAATGTTTATAGATGTGAAAGTAAGGGACAAGCAATGCTGTTGGGCTATTATGTTATTATAAGAATGATTGTCAAAAAAGTTATAGAATAGAGGATTCGAACAAATGTTCATTGTTTAAAAATGAACACATATGGTTTCACAACATATACCTTGGACTTGAAAAGGAGCAAACATCGTATTGAGAAATTCTGCAAAGACTAAGAGATACTTCATAGAAACATGTAGTTGCCAAAAGAAGTAGCAACTTCATCATGGTGTTATCAAAACAGAGAGAACATTTGAGCCTATGCATTATTCATATTTTTCTCAGTCTGAACTAAGAATGAAATGTGGTAGAATGGAGAAGCATGTAACAGATTTTTTAACAGCTGGGAATAGGCTTCTATGGAGTTGATACACCATTGGCAAGTAAGAGCCCATGTAAACATCATAATTGTGTTCATTTTCTTGGTGAAGAGGTGACAGACTTGCCCCACTTTTAAGACTGCTTTGCATACTGCTCAAATTATTTTCCTTAGGAGAAAAAAGCACAGCATTCATTCAAATCAACTCAACAACTTTTTATTTTTTGCCTGTTTAATTGGCAGAAATTTACGCATGCTGCTATTGTGTTCTCTGAAGCCTCGTGCTCCATTTCTGCTAAGGATTAAAGTTCATATGTGGTCTATGTACAGTATTTTATATCTGTACATCTCTGCTGCTGATGTTGCTTATATGAGCACTGGCAGGACTGAAGACAGTGATTTCTCCATCCTTCTTTGCTCGGATGTTGTTTACAGCCCCTCGTGCAGTGAGCAGCTGAGCCCAGTCACCTCAAGAGCTTTGATCCACTTCTATGGTGCCTGTGTCCTATTTCTCTCTCAGAGCTTCTCCCACAGGCCAGTTCTCCTTCCCAGAATTTCAGGCACAGTGATCCCCAAACTAGTTTTGTATATTCCAGGATTGAGCAAATAAGTAAATATCTCGTGGACAATAAGAGCCAGGTTTCTCCTATCAGAGAATTCTAGATATGGAAAGGAGAAGGAAGGGATGGGGAAGACAGGGGGGGAGGAAGAAAGGGTCCTGCCATGTTGGACTGGTATTAAAGGTGTCAGTGCAAAATCATGGTAGTTTGTGTAAATATATTTGAATATATAAATAAACATAGATGTGTGGGGATACGTATCCATATGTGTGTGTATGTGGATATATGCATATGTATGCATGTGTTTTATTTCCCGCACTGCCCGCTGAAAGACTGGAAGCAATGAAAACCTGGCAGCAAGGGCAGTCCCTGCAATAGCTTACCAGCAATACCAGCAGTAGCTTATTGGTTACAAACCTTGATTGCTAGATACCATCCTCTTTTAAAAGGAACAAAGGCTTCTTTGGAGAAATGACTGATTCCAAGTCTGGGGCTCACAAAGAGAAATCTATTCTCTTGTTTTATAATTGACATTTTCTCGTGAGTGATATTCTACAGACAATTATGAATATTTGAATAAGGTTTGTATATTAGATTAGAAACCAGACTATGACCCATGAGCCAAGTCATCCTGCCATCTGCATTGAGAGCGACTTTATATTTAACATAGCCATGCCCTTTTACTGATATACTCCCTCTGGCTACTTTTGAACTACGACAGTAGAATTGAGTACTTTCAACAAAGACAATGTGGTCTGCAAAGCCTAAAACAATTACCACCTGACCCTTAATAGAATGTTTGATACCCCCAGGATTAGAAAATGGTATTGAATCAATGTTAAGTTCCTAATTTGGTAATTGTACTGTGATGATATGAAGTAATTTTTTTTATTTTTATGAAATACACACTGAAATTTTATTGGGGGTGAGTGGCTTTTGTAAAGGAGTATCTTATCTGTGAATTACTCAACAGTTCAGGAAAATATGTCCCTGTATAGAAATATATAAATACCTACAAATGGATGGATGGTTGGAGAGGTAGACAGATATGCAAGTGATGGAAAAAGAGGGATGAGCAAGCATCTGTAGTAAAAGCAGTACTTAAATGTTAATATCTGGGGAATCTGGATCAGGGTTACCTGGGAATGTTTTGTACTTTTTTCCAGGTTTTTCACAGTTCTAAAACTATGTAAAAGTATTAATAAGGGAAAGTGAAGTGCAAAGCACTTAGTTGACATCTTGCTCTATTCTATGTTTTTTTTCCAAATTCTCTTACTTTTTGAGTCTCTTTTGATCCCTGTTTCTTAGACTTCTCCTTAAATCATTTTGTAATTCTGATGTCAAAAGAGGCCAACTTGTTTGTAGACAATTAATAAAGTTTCAAGTGTTCTGTCTCAGGTCCTGCAGAAAATCTAACATTGCCCATAAGGTTTCCTCAAGTTCTAACCTATGGTAGGAGGGGAAGGATTATTTTTATTTTGCCTTCTAACACCAAGTATCTTCAGTGGTCGAATTCTTATTTCACTGTATCACATACTCTTCCTGTGACTGTATTCTACTCCTTGCCAACCCATGTATGGAACTCAACCTCTTTTCCAGGACATATTAGTCATGCATACACACGGTGCCAAATAAGAAAATGTAAAATGAAAATGACACACCTCTTCACAAAGTTTTCCTGCTATCCCACTATGAACTGTTAGAAATAGCTTACTGCTTACATTTCTCCAAGTTGTCTGCCCGCCTCTTTCCTGGAATCTTTCCTCCCTCAAGATCAATCCCTCCAGTATCATTTTAAAATACCATTAAATTCTACATTCTCAGGTGTAGACTCATAAATGGATTTTCTAAAACTCATTCATGTTTCTGCTAATAAAAGTATCTTGGTTCTAGAGTGTCAGGTGTCAGCATAAAATTACAGGAATCTATTATTTTTATTCTTAATAGAAAAGAGCTATATGACATTTACTGGGTTGTAAACAAATGTTTACTACACATCTTGAAATACCAGACAATGAAGTTAGCAGTGGAGCCATCTTTGCCTACTAGAGATACACATAGCAGAAGAGCCTGGAATCTGCACTAAGACTGCCTGAATTTGAATTTTCACTCCACTGGCAAGTGAGTGATGGGACAAGCTACCTGAATGTTCTGTGCCTTTCTTTCTCCTCCTCTGTTCAAAGAGAATTACAATGGTACCTCTGCATAGTCATTCATATATACGACCATTACCACAATTTCAAGATGAAAAAGCTGGAGATATATGGCATAGTATGTCTCCAAGTTTTTTTATCATAAAATACCATATGATCTCACCTGTAAGTGAAACCTAACCAATAAGACAAACAAGCAAGTAAACTATAACCAGAAACATTGAAATAAAAAACAAACTGACAGTAATCAGAGCGGAAAGGGTAAGGGGTTAATGGAAAAAAAGCAGAGGACTGTCAAGGAACATGCATAAGGGACGCAAGGACAAAGCCAAAGGGGGTGGGATCAAGGGCAGGAGGTGGGGATGGGTGGGGCTGGGAGGCCTGGTGGTGGGGAAATGAAGACAACTGTACTTGAACAACAATGAAAATTTATGTAAATAAATAAGTACATGTTATAAAAAAACTGGAGACCAACAAAAAGCCCATTGTTAAGTAACTAGTTAACTAAATAATACTCCATGGAAATTATATATTATACAGTCATATAAATGACATGGATTTTTTAATTTGATGATTTGAAAAGAGATTAAGTACTTACACACACTTGTATGTACATATATATTATTTACTTATTATTTTATTATTTTATTTTATTTTTTTGCCAGGGGACAGTGCAAACACAGTCCGCTATCACCACAAATTATGCAGTTGAGTTTCCCACATTTGTGGAAATCACAGGGGTCAGGATATCTGGGGTTCAGTGGATAAGCCTCACCCTGGGAAAACCACCTTTGTGATCATGGTATCTCCCCTGCCAGGAAAGTACATATATTAAGTTATTTAGTATGTACATACATACAGGTGGGAAAAAAGGAGATTTACAGTTATAAGTATGCAAAACACAGTTTATTTTTTAATTATTATTTACAAATTACTGTATTATTTTCCATATGAACAACTGTAAACATACTTTTCCCTCACCTTGCCTATATTTAGTATCGGAAGAATCCCAAATACTTGATTACTTAACGTTAAGACTGGGAAGAGAGTCTCCCACTTTTCATTTTGTATTTTTTCATACTGTTTGAGTTTTCTAACCACATAATATGGTATTATTGGTTAAGTGAGTAAGGGATATATTGGGAGTAAAATTTGGGATATTTAAAAATTTTCTTTGTAGTTTGTTATATAATAAAATATCCAATATGTGTTCTAGTTATATACTATGAAAGAGAATATATAATTACTAGCACTAATGCTAGGGATTAGCTATAAATTGAAAAACGTCCTTGTGAGATTTTGACATGTATATGAATGAAATAAAATACAATTATATCAACAAAAACAAACAAAATTTAAAAATGCATATGCATGCAGACAGCAAATTATTGTACATAGTTCTTGGTATAGAATAAATGTTCTATGTGTTTTAAATCTTTTGCTATTTTTGTTGTTATTGTTGCTCCTTAATATCGAAAATGTATGCTGCAGCATACATTACTTTTTTGAATAGGGGTAAGATAGGACAAAATGTTTGTAGTATGTGGGAAAATAACCTCATTTAACATGGTAAAGATTTAAAAAAAAAGTGACCTTTAAAATGTTTTTGAATAGAATTCCAGAAGATCACTGCTCAAGAAAGAAAGGAAAGCCATGTTTGACTTCTCCTCCTCTATTGATAAAAATATCATTTCTGCCTTGAGAGCTTTGAAAAAATTCTGTGCCCTGAAAACAGAGACAACTGAGTCTGAATACTTTGAGAAGAGACTGACTTTTATTTCTCTTCCACTCAGGGTGTAAAGTCTGCAGCAACAACTTTCTTAACAAAACTAAGCTTTCTTTTTGGTACCATGTCAAGATTACTGTGAAAGAAATCAGTAATCAACATGGGCAAGACTATATGTAGGATTATAAAGTGGACATTCCTCCAGGAGATGAACTGGAAATTCAGCTCCGTTCCAGAATTAAGTTCCTTTGTATGAAACAGACTGTGCAGTAGCAGGTGTGTATACTAATAGAATGGTTTTGGTTTTAATTAGCAGACTTTCCCTGCAAAATAATTACACATACTGTTTACTTAACCTTTTTTTAAAGGGAAATTAATGTTTTTTGTAATCTCTTTTCTTCCCAGACTATACTTTAAGGTATTTAAAACAGTTGTTTTCATTATGAAAGGAATAGAAATTAGGGATGTTGCTTATAGCAGATTTGTTTTCTACAAAATGTTCCAAGCAGAGATTCAAATAAATATACTCACAGCCTTACAGGTAGCATTCATTTAAAATTTACAAGATTTACCGTAGCTTTTATTATAAAGAACTGAGCCTTAAAGTCTACAACAGAAAAAAATGTCTGAAAATGTCCATAAATGAATACTTCCCAAAGGAAACTTCCACAGCTGCATGAAGTGTCATGGGGACGCACGGAAGAGTGAGGGGCCCCGTGTCCCTAGCATGCACAGCTGAAAGTTGGGCTGAGGAACTAACTGCTTTTTGTACTAACAACAAAATAGTTAATAGAATTCAGACTTCTCACATGGTAACATCCAGAATGGAACTACTTTTTGAAAAGATTCTTGACAATTTAGTGGGGTGTTCCTTTGAACTCAAGATCTTATCTGTATTTGTCAAGTTCATAGAGACTTTTGCTCCAGGGCAGAATCGACTTAACTTCTGGAAAAGGGTTTAAGGGGGTTGTGTTTCTGAAAGAGGCTGTGTGTTAGAAAATCAACTGGATCTTTCTAAAGACAGTCTAAAAAGGTCTACAGTTCCAAGCCTACACTACCTCACTGTAACATGCTCAGCTTAACCTCAGAGCATCCTGTATTATATGGCTTCTGATATTTATCTTCTATGATGGAATAGTGAAATCACAGAAGCAGTCAATATACTCATACTACAACACAGCAGTCATTGGGAAAGGAAAGAGAATGCTTAATTAGATTTAATTAGGAAACTGAATAGATTATCTATGTCGTATGCTTCCATCAATTAATTGTATATATTCTTAGGATATGTAGTTGTTCAATAGTAGAGAAAAGTTTGGTAATAACAATATGTCATTGATTTTGTTTTGATAAAAATAATACTAGGAAAACCCTGCCAGACTGTTCAAAAAGGCACAAAGTGTGACTCACCATTGAGAGGAAATGTCATAGTTGGCTCAATCATGGTGTCTTTCTTTTTTTTTTTTAAATGGCCCATGACCTGTCAAAATTAGATATTCAAAGGCCATAGCATCATGACCATCAAATAAATGTTGAGTGGGAACACAGTTTAAATGCATGCGCTAACCCAGCAATCAGCAGTGTCTACACTTCATAGACTGACCACCTTCTAAGGAAGAGGCTACTTTTCTCTTCTCAAGAGATGAACTGAGAGTATATCTTAAAAGGAAGTTATTGTGCATAGACAAGCCACAAGAATAGATTTTACAACTGTGATTGAGTGTTTTCTTCAGTTGGCTTTCCTGTATTGTGCAGTCACAAATACTCTTTATGATCAAACATAAAATTATTTTTTCACAGTTTAGAATCAATTATAATTGAAGCAAAAGCGTAAAATAAAAATTTGTAAGGGTCTTGGGCAGCTGCTTCTTTACCTTTGTGTGATAGAGATGATATACTCATTTGATTAAAAACTGCTACTATAACTGCTGTTACTAAAATAGACTGAACTCTAGCAATGCATTCCATTGCAGAGATTCACTTTCATTCTCACTGAGTAAAGGAGCCCTTCATTCTCCCACTGATACATGGTCATTGGTTAAATGTATCCACTGGTTAAATGTATCTAATGTATTTAATAGGTGAAACTCTAAAAGATGTGCAAAACTGATACCAGATTTTCAATCTATGTCACTGGGTCTCACATGCATGCAAGAAATTACCTGGTACAACTTTTCACTTCTAACAATACTCTCGGGGTTTTTTTTTGGAGTACTTTATAAATAAAAATAATGAATGGAATGAATACCAAAGTGATATGTTGTAGATTCAAATTTTTGGAACAATATTTGAAAATATAAGCAATTGGAATGATTAAGACATTTGATAAAGAGACTGCACTATGTTATGAAGACAACAATCAAGGAGGATCAGGAGAACTGAGCTCCGGTGTTAGCATGATCTTCATGAATCGCGTGGGTCCCAATTTAATGGTTTAAATCAAAAGGAAGAAAAAGAAAGAGAAAAAAATAAAAAGAACATTTGCTCGTAATTATGGTCTTTGTGCACTGCATGCAAAGATCAGAATTTTTAAAGTTTCACCATCTCATTTTATGGAAGGCCTTTGCCCAAGGAGAGTAAGGATAGAATTAAGCCATCAGTCACTTAACCAGAGGATCTACCCTTACTTGTGTCTTCAATAATGTATTAGATGGAGAGTATGGACCATGAATTCATCACTTTGCCTCCTTTATATGCGACATAGTAGGCAGTCAAAAAAGTTTCATGTAATTTATATGAAAACCTCAGCTAAATCTATAATACATATTTAAATGTAAATTTCCTTTTACATTTAACTATCACAGATAATATATAGATATATGTATAAATATAAATTGTGTGGCATTAGAATTCTAGAAAGAAGAAATAATATTGAACTGAGTCTTCATGAGAATAATAAATTGAGAATGTGAAAATTAACTAGTGGATCTAGACTGTGGGTAGCCAACCTTGATAATTAAAGCTGAAATTTAAGATTAATATGTGCCTTTTCTGTAGACGTGCTGCAACATATCTGGAAACTATGCTTTATCTTGTCAATAATGAAGTGTCAAGACTCAGGTATTTGCTGGTACATAATAATCACTGAATATATTTGAGGCATAACCAAAATCTTAGCATTAAAACAAGTTCAGAAAAATATTTAGAGTGATATTTGACTCAGTTAATGCACATGTAACCCACGGGGTTATGCTAGATTTTAGCTTAATTAAATACAGTCTTGCTGTGCTCTATTCTCACAAGAAATCATGAAAAAAGAGTTATGTATATTTTATCATAATATCATTTCTATTGTTGTTTCAGCTGCAAAAACTAAGCTGGATTACCTTAAGTAGAACAGTTAATTGGTTTCAGACTCCCTGGTCAGTATATTTATTATAGATACAAACAGTTTCTTTAGAAGATAAAAAGGAAAACTTTTGAGAGAAACTATAATTAAAACAGATAGCCAGGCAAAGAAGCTAAGAAAAATATAAATTGAACAGTAATTACACAACAAAATATAACTGATCTGGTTTTTGTTTAAAAATAGTTTTTCTTTTTATGTAGGGATTTCTAGAAATGTATGGAAATTATTTTTTAAAAACTATCAATTCCATGGAATCATTAAACTGTGTTGTCTCTACAAGTTTTGTCATTCTGTTTCTGGAGTAACAAAATCAACTACTTTTCTACTTTTTAGAGTAATAAAAACAAGCAAAATTAATCTGAATTGTTCATTAAACATTGCATGTATGAAACACATTACATATGTCTCAGAAGATGCACAGACAATTGAGTTTTAGGAAAATACAGGCTAGTATATTTATTAGAAAAATCAAAATCAAAATATATTAGAAAATGAGTACTGTAAAGTCCAAATCTGCCAATAACTACTATATTTATATATATGCTGGCTACATATTATGTACAACATATGATATAGTTATCTGAGTTTTGATACATGTGATAAACTACTTTTTTTCCTTCAAAGTTAGAAATGTACACCAATATGCAAATGTTTACATATCCTCTCTTGCACCTGGGGTACTGATAGAATCATATTTCAAATAAATGATCTTCCAGTCTACTCCCATTATACTGAGGTTTAGATAAGAAAT